TATATATTTATTCATTTATGTTTTGTTCAAAATATGTTGGGAAACCCGCAAAATCATATCCAATAATTTGGGGTCTCTATTTGCATGTCTAGAAACAAAAAAGTGCATGTAATCAAAATTTTGATTGTTTTCTTAGTGTGCTTATTAAAAGTGAAGCAACTGAAAGAATCGACAGAGTGGCAAGTGAACGAAATGTTTGAATTGAATAAACGTGTGAAAACAATCGACTTCACTTATCGCATCACTGTTACAGTGATTGAGAGTTCTCATAGTTTTCAACTGATCACAGTTACACACAATTCGAGTCTTTTCTCGCACACATTCGTTCGATGCACACAAACTTACTCGTTACCGATCATTGACAAGATAAGACAACCTATTGAATGTATCTTAAAAGAATGCTTAAAGATTAAGTCGACTTCTTGATGATCATTTTGTTCTGAGTTTTAAAGAACACCAACAAAAACAGGACAGCTGCTCTACATCTTTATTGAATTGCAGCTCAAATTCGAAAACGCCCCATTCCCGTCGGTTACACTGTGCAACCTGAATCCGTATAAGGCGTCAATGATCCAGAGTGAAGAAACGACAAGATCAACGGTATTCGAGACAAATTTGCTTTTCACATTATATTCATAACACATTATTGAACGCACTCAATCGCATATTACGAGCAAAGTGCTTTCATTTGTGGAGTCAAATGATCACAACGCAACGAATGGCGTGTGGATGAATTTATGCAAATAACGCGTGCCTTCGCACATAGATCACAATTTAATTGGTTTCCTTAAAGTAGATTAATAATCATGGCTACCTCTTTCACGGTACCTTTTGATGCGACTACATTGCAGTGGTTGTAAGCACCGAAACATGCAATTAAGAATTGATCTAAACAAACTTGTTCAGATGGATGCATTTGCAAATATTGTAAAAAGTGGTGGAGGAACATATGGTGTTGCTGCAGCGATTGATGCAGCCCGAGACGATAAAGGTTAATCATTCATATGGCCAAACATTACTAGTGCTTTTTCTTACTTGATAATTGTTTGATAGACGTGCAATCGCAATAATTTGAGGTTCAAAGCAACGTTTCAAACGAGATACACAACAACAAGAACACGATGAGATGCGAATACGCCGTTATCATCAGGTTTATGCTCAATGTATTTGCGAGGTGAATGCGCTCTCTGGTGAACGTAAAAAAGGCAGTTGCTTCGCTGCATATAAAGGCAACATTTCCATTACATTCTCAGATACAATACAACGCTATCATCCAAGTAAATGCATCTGTCAACTCGATTGGATTTCCAAAACATTATGGCCATGTTTTCCTGGTTAGTCACCAGATTTTATTTCACTTATAGATCTCATTTGATCGACTCACGTTTTCATGGTCGCTAATTTCACATCAAAAACTTGCTGCTTATCCATTAAACATCTCAATAAACTGTAAAGTCTGCAGCATTAAGCTGCGTTCTTTATACGTAATGTTATTATTATTGACATTATCCATTTGAAGACTTAGAGAATTATATTTTATGATTTACAAGGGCTCACTGAACTGCAGATCTCATGAACACCGGTATCAACTGAAGCAAGCAAAAACAATGATTGCTCAAATTTTCGAAAAATTAGTCGCAATCTATTTTCAGCGAAAACATGGAGACAACGCGTTTGTACAGAATGCTCTCCAGACTTGGGGCATTGTCCGATGAGATTCTATGAAGGCAAACAACGAAGTCGCTTAAAATTTCGTGATACGAACGTTTGTTTATGTCATACAGAATACAATCACTGTATTGCAAATAATGAAAACGGTTACATCACTGAAATTGATCCAAACACGGATCTATCAACACTGAATATCACATCGAGTATCGGATTTCAACAGTCAACAACAACAACCACCACAACCACGCAAACACCTGAACTTAAACAAGCGCTCGGTTTTGATGTAATTTATTAGTTAATCATTTCTTTTCATTTGTTCATTCTAATTCTCATTACCGGTGCAATGAGGTAAAATGATTCAATTTAACTCACAACGCATCATGCACCCATGATAATGAGCGGACGTCATCGCACAACTACCTAGCAGTATTCGAATGAATGTCTTTCTAGAACGAATATTAAAATGAGATGACTGCCCGGCTAAATCAAATACAGTTTTGTAGGGTCTTACTGATGAAATAGCAATCAATACACAAGCACAACAGAATCTTGTATTTGCTGTTGGTCAATTACCGTACACGGATAAGGTGTCATTGTCACACACGCGAGAGGAATTCATTCTGAAGTGTTCGTTTAATCAAAAAGATTGTGACATGAAAGGGTTAATTTTATTCATTTTCTTTCTTAAATTTCGAGAAAAAAACGCAACAAAATCATTTAACATGTCAAAATAAAGAAAGGTAGCAGAGATGTGAAGATATGTCATACTCAAGCGAATAACTACAAATTTGGATAGCGGGCATAGGTTAGTTGCGAAAAAAAATTTACTTTGGTAAAAATTGTAAAGTTAGGTTTGAGCGCTTCGTGTCAAATAAACAAATTGTGTTTTGCAGAGATTTTAAATTACATTACGATCAAACATATGGCAACTGCTTTACATTCAACTGGAATCGAACAAAGGTAGTTACGGCACATCGAGCTGGAGCAAATTATGGTGAGTAAATGGGCACTCATGAGATGTTCGCTGCATTCTCGGCAGTAGTTTTAAATTTTAACGGCTTTCACAAACAAACACGAATTCACAACAAAGCAAGCAAATAATCGCATGTCTTTGTAATGTATCACATGACAATATGATGTTTCTAAGGACTTCGTGTTCTCCTCTACGCAAATGTGTCCGAATACCTGCCCACTTCTGAATCGGTTGGATTTCGAATCACCGTGCACGACAAATGGATAGTTCCATTTCCAGACGCATTCGGCTATAGCGCCCCAACTGGTTTTCTTTCTTCATTTGGAGTCAGAATGGTAAGTGCACAATTATCAGCCGACAACAATTATCAAAAAAGCGTCACTCTACCAAAAGATGTTCGTGAAAACAACTAAGTAAAAAAAAACCACTGAAATCTGATATGGTCCTTAAAATGAACAGAAATGCATGCGAGTAATTCAGCACAGTAGTACTCAGTTGTTTTCTTTTTCAGAAGCAATTTAATCGAATTCCAGCGCCGCATGGCCAATGCCTCGATGGTGGAGAAGACAGTCCAGAATTTATTTATAGGGGATTCAATTATTCAGTTGAAGTAACATAATCATATTCATGTATTCATATAACTTAAGTTGATAGCGTTAAATTAATGGTACAAAATTGTTTTTTCATATTCCACACAACTGAAATTATTTCCGATAACCTTCATCACTACAAGATAATATAAGTTGTAAAAATATTTTGCAGGGATGTCACCGCAGTTGTACTCAAAAGGAAGTTATTCGATTGTGCGGCTGTGCAGATCCCACCTATCCAATACCAAAAGATGCTGTTGCATGTAAAGTGAGTGATCCAATCGCACGTGATTGTATTAAGAATACATCGCAGCACCTTGGACGTCTTATTGCTGAAGGGAACGTGCCCAATTGTGTTTGTCATCAACCGTGCCAGTACGTTTCTATGAGTCTTAGCAATATCGATTATAAAGTTGAGCAATCGAACGAGGATTGTTATTTATAGTGAAACCAACTATGAAGTGACTTATTCGTCGTCAAGGTGGCCATCAGGTACAACAAAGATAATGGAATGTGAAGTTAGTGATGATTTATGCATGGAACGATACCGAAAGAATGCGGCTATGCTGCAGATTTTCTACGAGGAACTCAATTATGAGACATTAACTGAGTCTCCGGCTTATACAGTAAGTTATTTAATTGTAAATGCGGCAGAGAAGCATTATTGCTTACATACTAAAGCTATTATAAAGCAGTGCTTGTGAAACTGTCGAATCTTTGCAAAATTCAATCACTAATTCAGTTAACAAGTGCATTAGCCGATCTTGGTGGTCTAACAGGGCTTTGGATTGGCTCGTCTGTAGTCAGTCTATTGGAGATTGCAGCGCTGATCGTCTACTGCGTTCAAGCTTACGTTCGTAAAAAGAGGAAGGGCTCAAGGTATCAACTAGAAAATCAAACATTCCTTGTTCATTCAATTTCTTACTCCCACAAAAATACACAATATCAAGTGACGATTAGCATCTGCTTAATGCGTTATCATAGCATAACATTCCGTTCGGAATGAACAACGTTCAACATAATCGAACAATGGATTAAATTCATTTAAATTTAATTAAATTCAAATTGAATTTGAAATTATTCTCGGCATAACAGTTGATACGGCAACCTCTTACCTGCTGTCTCGGTTGATAACAGCCATATTTTAGCATCTCATCGAATCAAGTGATTCATCCTATAGTATATCCCAAATACTCGAAACGTTCGATGACATCCTTATCAACGATTCGATCCAAAAAGCTTTCTGCCCCAACGCGTTCAACACCATCCACCATTGGTTTGTTGCCTCTTAGACATTTACCAATATTTATTACCATTTCTGGCAAGTTTTTGTCACTTTATATCAGTAACCTAACAATCATCAGATGAAGTTGAAAAGCAGCTCGAACCAGCCGCAGATGTTTCAAGTGATGAAAGTATACCATCAGAAGCAGTTGCTCGCAAAAACACATATCGCTATCTTTCACCCAGTGATGAATTACCCTGTGACTGTGTCTATGGTGAAAATGGCAAAATCAAGGTAAGTCCAAGGCTAATAATCCCATATTATAGCAAACCACGTTACACAATAATATCATGTGTAGCCATACGAAATACACACCAGTACAGCAAAAAGCAATACTAAGCATATGATAGAAAACGGCACTGAGCTTCATCAAAACTCTAAAATCAATTCGATATTGAGTTTTCAGATAATGCGAGCATTATGTCCAGAGCATGGCTATTTGGTACGACGTGGCGCTGACTATAGAGTATGTGGTGAAATCCAAATTGATGAGAATGACTTAACAAGTTCTTCAAGTACCAGTAGTGCTGAAGAGGAGAACAATGAGAGGATATCACTAAATAGTATATCAAAACGGAGTAGGCATAAATTAAGTAGTACTCCAGATGCAACTAGAAATGATCGTTGTGAAAGGAGTTCCAGAACATCCAAGCAATCACGGTGATACTCGAAATAGCAAAATTATCTACTGAAGTAAAAAGGCATTAAGCTTTGATGGAACAAGTTCGTTGGAATGTCGAGAATAATCTCAACCTTGAACACCATATTATTATCCATCACTCTTCTGGCTTGCTCTGCTACTCAAAACATCACGATTTACTGACAATACTGGCCGAAATTAGACTTATACATACTATTTTTATAACAGTTATTGTGATATGTACGTGTAACATCAACCACAACTCTATCGATCGTCAATTCACGTACACAACGGCAAAATGCGTGCAACATATGTACACTAGGGGCATGCCGTCAGAAGGTGTAGAGTAGGTAATGTCTGAAGCATCATTTAGCAGACTCCGTTCTCGGACATTTCACAAGGAAACGGTCTGAACTTACCGTTATATGAAAAGTCACGTAGTGAATACAAGGGCTGCTCTGAAATCGAATTTGCAACATCACTCAGAGCAAGGTGATAAGAGATGCGGAATGGGTCATTAGTTCGAATTTTGTTTGATGGTTGGCACGGATAAAACTGACTTGTTAATCAGAAAATTCACGACTTGTGCTATTTATTTATTTAATCAGCTACTACGGCCTCTCAATACTACTAATGTCACATCTTCTCCACGCAACTAACAATATCAGCGCATGGAATCACCCGGTTTCACGAAAGTCTAATTTTGACTATTGATTTGGCGAGCATAGAGATGTAGGGCTACTCTTCCACATTGCCTAATTAGTTCCAGGGAGAGGGACTTAAATTAAGCCTAAAAATACGCTCCACTTTATTGAATGAACATGTGTCCAATAATTGCTCAATGTAACTGTTTGAAACAAATGCCAGTAAAAACCTAACAGTGTTTTGTGTTCAGTGACAAACAACGATTCTGATAGCCATGAGTGCAGTTTCAAACTCAGTACCAGAGCAGCTGTTGTATTCACCACCTCTCATACATTCTGTCATTCGGGAACGTTTGAAAACAGATTCTATATCAGCTCCGTGAGCCCTATAAGATGATATATGTTTCATTCCGAAAGGCCACGAGAAGTTTGGACTTTTCCTTGTTGATCATATTTTGGACAAAAAATGGGTACTACTACATGACAGGCAGCAAGCATGTCTCATCCGTCATCAGCCTGTGTTGAGTGCTGCTTAGCATTGGTTGCGGAGAACTTATTTGTTAATACGCATTTTTCATTCTTTAAAAAAAGTTTCATCATTAAAAACGATCTTTTGATGGCATGTCACTTGCTAAGGACTTTGTAAGCAAGATTATATACACCTGTCAATAGACCGATAAATGGAATGACCGGACGTATGAATGGAATGGTGAGTAGTTGAAGAAACGAGATGATTAACGATAAAAGTGCTATCATATACATATAAATATGTGATGTTTGTTAATGTTGCTCTTATTCATCCAAAAAGAGACGACATTACTGGAAATGCTGCGCATAGTTCGGCTCAGAACTGATGGTAGCGCAAAAGATGATGCGATAACCGACTAGTTGTCCATATGAAACGAACGAATTTTAAATGTACTCATCTCCATTCTGAAATGGCTCAGCAGTTTTCGCTTATCGATGTAGAAAAAGGGAACAAATACGCAGATGAGTCACCTGAACAAATGAATGGATTACCTCAGGATATTTCATAGACCTAATGAAATAACACATCAGCAGCGAATTCATCTTAATGTTATTTGCATTTTTCTATAAATGGAATGAAAATTCTCTGGTAAAATATCTATTCATTCAATTGAATTCTTCTCCATAGCAATCATCAAAAAGGCGTGCGTCTCTTTCTGGAGAATATGTTGTAAAGAGTAACAGTCGCGATGTGATGTGAAACTGCTCATCTGATGTAAAACTCTATTTCTATTCTTGTTATCTTTTATCATCGTTCTGTTTGACTCCTCAAAAAATACATTAATGATTTCAAATGATCCAATCACTTTACACAGACTTTAAAAATCTTTTTAACATTTTGTTACATCTGAATTATAAGCCTTCTTATAATCATTTTAAAAAAATCAGCTTTCATCAGGAACAGTCTATGAAAAAATACAAATCATTCTTAACTAAACAAAACAATTTGAACAAAAGCTCATTACATAATCTAACCAGCTATCCCATTAATAAATCAATCATTTGAATGATAAGTTATATCAATTAATTAAAAAAGAAACATTTTTGTTCGAAAAAACGGAACGATGGTATAAAATTGTTATTAATTAATAAGCGACAATAATAATACCACTCGTTGATATCGAATGATAACTTCATAATAAATATTATACAAGCAATCAGATTAGAATAATTATATTGATGATCATAATGCAGTGAGCAGTGCATGAGAAAGCACCTTGTTTAGTGAGTACCTGCCTCATCATCGACGAACGATTTCGATATATCCACGAATATTGCACTAATTTACGCAAATGCTTGACTTAAAATCATACAAAATGCTTCGACGTTGAAAATTCTAGCTACAATTGCAACTTCTTCATACAATAGATGTTTTCAGTTTTTCCTTCCTAATAACTTGGTTACCTTTCCAAATAATGTCGCGTACAACGCACCTTCCTTTAAACTGAGCAATGAATGGACTATTCGAATGATTGAAGCTCAACTTCTTTAAAGAATGAGAATTTGCGAAAGGAAGAGGAACTTTGTTGAAAAACAATGTTAAAGAAATGCAAAATATGTTAACAGTGAAAACAATGTCCTTAAACCAAAACCCCTCCTAAATACAAATATAATCAACCAAACATTAACGTTACATCGAATGTTATAACCATAACTCCTGACTATCCCAAACTCTGAGACAGTATTCATTTCTGTCTATAATTTACAAGATAGAGAAATAGGCAGCTGGATGAGTTTACTTGATACAAAGATTATGATTTCGCTCAAATATGCGACGCTGTTTCAATATTTCGCAGTGAGGAAAAATTATATCAGCACCAATATTTCATATTTTACGCCATTGCGTGAAATCAGCTCTGATTTTTGATTGTCCAAATTGAAATAAAATTCAAATTTTAATACTTCTATTTAAGTACATTTTAGAGTACTTGAATGTACTTTAAATATTGCACGATGAACGTTTTCAATGATGACTGAAACGACTTTGTTCGTAATTAACTCGGATCAGAGACATCAATAACTGTAGATGATAGGTGCATTGTCGAGGATGTTATATGAATGACATTATAAAGCGCTGAAATGAACCGATACAACTAAACAACATTCATCTGGTCGTTCGATATGGTTGCTATCCAAATGGGCAATAAAGTCAAGCAAAAAAGAGCATGAACACTGAAACAGTGATTACACGAATGATAAGGTGATTATCAGAATATTCATGAAAAATTCATTAATCCGCTGTTACTTACTCAATAAATCCAAAGCAAATAAAATGCAAATTAATGACAAGTGAGAAGATGAATGATATATCAATCAAAGAACACTGAACATGCACTGATCAACGAAGTTGACGCGTTCATCATAGCAACTACTGGGTCATTGAAACAATTTGACAACATTACTGACTCATTCTGTCATATCAAATGGAGCATACTTAAACAACAGTGCCGTCCCAATTACAGACATGAGACGGCAATATATGGCATTGCAATGAGTAATCACATCAATTTCACAGCTAATGACCAGATCAGTTCTTCGTTTCGTCATGTGCATGAAGTGCTAATCAAAATCAAAAAAGATGAACACCTCAAAGAAAGTGACTAACTACTAACCCGTATCAATTCCTCCATCGTTTCCTTGCCAAGCACTGTATAACGCAAATTATGAAGCCCATCAGTTTGCAACAAATAAATCGCCACTATTGTACTCCCAAAATTACGCTCCCATAAAATCGCACCAGTTGATCCATCGACTGTGATTAATCGCCCATCTGGTGCACTTGCGAAGTGTTGATACGGATAAGAGATATCAGCTAAAATAAGTAACTGGGCAATTATACAACAATTCTGCTTTACGGATCAAACAAACGAAAAATGATAAGTATATTGATACTATCAGTATAAAATCAAACAAAATAATAAAATTACCTGGCAAGAGATGACTGGAATAATCGGTAAATGTTGCATTCCACCGTCGCATGTGATTTTCTGCATCGAACATCGACAGATGATATTCAGATCTTAAAATTTTCTACTTATTCAAGTCGAATCAACCAACAAATTAGAAGTACTTAAGTACAACATTAAATCACATTTCATTAAAATCAATTCATATATGACACTGAGCGGTTGGTCTGCCGATCTATCACATTTATTTATGAGCATCCGTTGATTGGAATTCCAACAGCACTTTAAACGGAAACGTGAAATGCGGCTGACAAAATGAAGAACGATGCAACGTTACTCACTTAATGATCAAAAATGAATAAACTAAATCTCTCCTTTTTTTTCTCTTTGATCACAGTAAAATTCTATCAATAATATTGCGTCTAACATAAAAAAACTATAAGGAAAAGGTTTTCACAAAATTTCTCAAACGATTCCACATTAATTTAGATGTACGAAACGAATTCGACCTGGACCCAAAAGATGATAAAAGCCAATTCAGATACATGCGTGTCAAAAAACAAAAATGAAACCTTCCAATAAAGATAGTTTTATCGCTACTCGCCGGACATTGTCGTCGTACAGACGACTGTGATAATTCCTCTTCTTTGGCACCCGTTAATGCGTTTAAGCCAAACCATACATCCTTCTTGCTACCTAAACTTATCAATTAAACAACTTAAAAGCAATCACAATGCATGTTCATGAAATGCATTTATTATTCATCAAAGAAAACAATTCTACTCGAATATCTGTTTAAAATGCTATATCTCATTACCTGCGTATAGAACGCCATCATTTGAACGACACGGTGAAGCGCTCACTAACTGAGGGATTGAGAACGGTAATTTTTTCAACTGTCCATCACGCAACATATACAGACTGCCATCTTGAGGATCTGGTAAAAATGTAAATCCATGCTGTATAGTAATGGGTGATTGTAATACTGGATCTGAAAATTTTTTTTGTGGTAGTAAATATAGTATAATAATAATAACAATAATAATAATAATAATAATAATTATTATTATTATGATAATAATAATAATAGCAATACGAGAGATTAAAAATATAAATATCACCTTCTTTAATTTGCCATTGATCTACTCCTGAGAAGGGATCAATTGCACGTAAATAGCCATCAATGGTTGATACGAATACCAGTCCACTTGCAGAAGTCGGTAACGGAGAATGTACCTCCTTGAATCAATTTCAGTATCGAACTGATTGATTGTTGAAGACAATTTTTATGGATAACGCAATGAAAAGAGTAATTTTTCTTAGCATAAAAGTTTCAGTGAATAAAAAAAAAGGAACTGAATCATAACTGAAAAGTAATCATGGACGATGTGAAGTGAATATAGAAATTGCACACAAAAAGATACTTTT